TTAAAACTTCCGTTACATCGACCACTCTAACCAGTGCAGTTGGTTCTCACCCGGTGTGTCGAGGCAAACTAGTGTGTGTCGCCAAGCATTTTGTTTACCTATTTGTATAGTAAGTGTTCCAAGTATAAATATATGATATTATTATGGTGTTATGATGTGATGGTAATAGCTACAAATAAGAAAAAAATGTTGAAGATATTCTCATTCTCAATTATTTACAAACCTATAGGTTTATAATACATGTTATTCTGAAACTTTTTTATGGTATAGTTAATCACCCACTACTGATCCTCATTCCTCGATCACCCAATATAAAAATGTATGTAAAGTAGTAGTACATCTTTCTAAAACATTATCAACAAAATAGTGTTTAACTAAAAGTTAAAATTGATTCTGAACTCAATATAAATAACACTTAACAGGTGTACCTATCATCGTAGAACAAAAAGATTAATAGTAATAACATAATATATAATTATCCACGGTTAATTTACTCGATTTTATACATACCACCCGAATTAATTGTAATTGGCGAACTAAAATAGTTGTGCCCTGAAAGTTCTAAATAAAAAAATAAAAAGTAATAACATGATAAATTGATAAATAACAAAATTTAAATAAATAAATAATCTTTAATTTTAAATCTATTTTTTTTTTTGTCATTTTTAATACCTAGTACAATAATATTGTGAACATATAAATAAATATCTGGTTACAAAACTCATATAAGTACCTATTTAAAAATGTACAAACTTGAATATTTTTGGTGTCACAAGACAATACATTTTGTAATACGCCGTATTACACTTTTCGACCCTTTTCGAATAAAATCATAAGTACATACTCTTTCCTTTTGGGCCAAACCAAAACAATAAATATTTATCTACTTTTATGTTATACACGTAGAAAATTATTAAAAATATAAGTAAGTAATGTAGTTTAAGTATAAACGTGCCATAGATTATTTTGATCGGTGGTATTTGTGTTTGATTATGATGGACGATAAATACCATATAGGTTTATAACATATCAACTTAAAAATAATGTTAAAATATATTATTATATTTATAACATAAAGTAAATATTTAACCTTTTGGTTTAGCCGAAATGGGAAGGGTACGATTTTAGTCGAAAACAGTAAACTTTTGTAGTTTGTGTAAAGAGTAAATTCCAATATTAGTTGGTGCTTTTAAAAATTACAAAAATTTATCTTTATGTTATGGACAATTCTTGTATGTGTCTGTTGTGATCGTGTAACATCGATTGACCAATAATTGCAGTCATATTCCTCGAATATTAGTTGTCTTATGAAAATAGTTGTTCATATTTACTTTTTTTTTAATGCAACCCTTTTTTTTCTTGTTTTTAGTTGGGGAGGGGCACTTAATTGTTTTTCTTAAGTTTTGTAGAACTAGAATACTATTATCACATGTTACTTTAGGACAACATTGTTCATAAAAAAATTCGGACAACACTGGTTATTACCAGGTGCTATACTTACAATATTAGTATACCTATATTGGTATGGATCACTCACTGTTTTCGCGTGTTCTACGTTAATACAAGTTATATCAATAGATTCCTAGAGACTCAAGGAGTGTTTATACCTTAATTTTTTATCTATATATGTCGACTAAGATGGCTCACATTTGCATTTTATTTCGGCTCATAAAATTAAAATATTTATCTGTTTATTTAAATGGTTGCCATTGGTTACAGATAATAACATAGCTATTATTATTGAATATAAATTGTCTGTAAGTATTTTATTATATTTTGTAATTTAGGCTAATAAATCTAGGTATTCTATATAAATGTATAGTAACACTTAAACAGTAACTATAATATATATAAGAGGCAATACACTGGTTGAGGTTTGTTTATCATAAAAATAAAAATACTCAACGTACCTATTTTAACAAAAAACAATGGAAAATATTCCGACTGAAGTCAAATGGAAACGATAGGTAGATCGATTAGTTATAACAGATAGTTAGTGGAGAAATATATATAAATATTACTTTCATAAGTAGTCGGTTAATATTTAATAATGACCCATATTATGTAAATCCATAGTTTTTTTTACCGATTGGCACCAAATTTTACACACATATTAGAGCCCGGATGGCTCTTAATAAGTGTAAAGTGTATACTAAAATAGGAACCAATAAAGGTAAGATATCTGATCGAAATTGTCCTGACTGGTCAAAGTAGAGCCTAAACTATGGTAGCTAGGAACTTGACGTTTTTACAGTACCTTAGTACCACTATACAATGGTGAATTAAAAAAGGATTTTCTAAAATTCGCATTTTAGAGAGATGCCCACACAGTCACACAAAGATTTTGAGATTCGCGATAGAAATATAATTTTGTTGTTGTTTATTAATGCATAATTGTTGTTAATGGTTACAGATAAGAATAATAGAATAGTAAGAGTAGGAATTAGCAGAAAATAGCATTTATTTTCATTTTTTAAATGGTTGACTAAAATTAAATTGTTATTAAGATTATAAACTATTATTATAGATATAATTTTTACTTGTATTTGATATTTTGTTCACCATATTTTTTACCCGAGTGGATAAATGTCATAACCACATATTAGTTTATTTTAGATTCTGAGCGGAGCTATGAATGTATTGATTTTACAATGATGAGTGTTTTTATATTTGTTTTTTTTTTTGTGTTTGTCATCAGGGTTTCTTGTAGTTATAAAGTGCTTCGATTTTCTTCAACAGCAACTTTTCTGGTAGGAAAGTGAATCAAGTTGGTGCATTCGGGAGGTCAAAATTTAAAATTCCCAATTGTTTTCAAAAGTAATAGGAAAAAAAAGAATTTTTACACAAAACAATTTTTTGAAAAAATCGATTTTGGTTTTTAGTGCAACTCTAACAAAAGTTGCTGTTGATACATGTAATTTTCACTGAATGTTTGTATTAGTATTTTCTATACACCATACACTTTTTTCTTATGTTAAGCTACACAATATTCGATTTTAATACATTTTTTAAAATTAATGTTGATAAAAAAAACTTGAAAATTAAAATACAAGGTTCCTCATAATTTTGTTAGTGGTAATTAAAAAAAAGTTAAAAGTAAATCTACAAAATTTTTTTCGCATACTTTATTGAGTTAGAAATTTATAAAAATTTTTCTTTTGATATCAACGATTTTATTATAAGATTCCTCATAAGATTGTTTACCTTTGAGAAAAAAAATAGTCTACCGGGAAGGATTTGTTATGAGCGTTTGAAGTTCAATTTTTTATACGACATTGGATTTTTTATACTCGATTTTATTGACGGTATTTGAAATTTGTAAAATATTATATTATATTTTATATACTCAATGAGATTTTAGAATGCATTTTTTTCAGAAAAAATGAATTACTTATATCTTAATCAGCCGTCGCAGGTAGAGTGTAGATTAAGCATCTTGGATTTATCTCCGAGCAAAGTGGGTAATCCAACCAATCTTTATACATATAATTCTACTGTACGTGTGTGTATGTCACTGAACTCCTCCTAAACTGAGTTCGTATGCGTTTGGGTGACACCCTGGATGGTTTAGATTCACAATTATTGGACCCGATAGGTCCGACCCGGGGAGTTGCTCAAACAGGAAATATTTGTTTATATACGGTTGCTATTGGCTATAGGAGAAATATAAATATAATATTTAATAGAAAAAGGTGTTTTTTTTTTTTGTTTGTTGGTTGCCTGCAGTGGTCCACGGGGCAGATCATGTATAAGCATGCATACAATTGAATTTTCGCACATTACCGACCAAGGTGGCCGAGTTGCACTTATAGCCGCTTGTCGGCGTGTCCGCAATCGAAATAAAAATAAAACATATTATATGTATAAAGTACTCATCAAGCGGGGTCCTCAATCCACAGCAGGTAGGAATAATATACTGCTCGCATTATCATCTTCGAGTCTCATATTTAACGGGCAACAAAGTGCACAGGAACAGCTATAGTTGTCTATAAAATAATTGTATGATTTTTTTATTACGAAATATAGCAGACAGTTTAATTGAACAGTAGATACAGTTTAAAAAATATTATAAGCTCTAGTAAGTAAGTATAGTAATAGGTACATATAATAAATTACTAAATTAATATTTACCTTGGAGCTAAATACAATATTTCCACACTGGGTTCAAATAAAAATGATACCAGGAAAAATCGTTGTCTAAAATTAAAATCTATATAAAAAAAATAGGTAGGTGCTTGATGTCAAAAAAATACAAGTATCTCAAGGATTAATTTATTTCCATAGTAAATAATAAATATATATATATATATATATATATATATATATATAATGTACTTGTTTAAATTCAGAATGTAAACACGATTTTGGCACTACAATAATATGTCTATATTCAAGTATCCATAAATATTGTAAGCACCGGTAGACTAATTTAATAAAAAAATAAAAATAAAATACACACCTACAGTATTTTGTTAAGTTGTTCTTATCTACAAGCTTAACTTTTACGAAAAAAAATGTATTTGTATTTGCTGATTTTGCTGCTCTTTAAAATCCAAAATATACACCTAAAACACAATTAAACCCATTTATATTTGTCATTTATAATTCATCCACCATTAGGCGCTATTAGATCCTATATATCATACATGTATGATTCGATCAGTTTACAACTAGATAATATAGTTATTGTACATTTGTATCTACTTCCGGTAAACAGTTGCTGCACGCCACTCACCACAACCAATGGACACGACTAGGGTGTATTAATTTGGTTCTGTTGTCTTTTTTACCGACTACTGACCACGTTACGTTATATTTTAGATTTTAGCATTATCGCTTCAAAATGTTTTCTAAAATATATTCTTATATATTTTTGTTTGAATCGGACATTATTTTCCCGCCACCTATTACGACGTTATTATCATGAAATCTATCATATGTATATCATGTGTTATTATTATCATATTTTTTACATTCAAACATTTATTTTGATAACATAAATGAAATTCAGAAATCTTAAAAACTACATTACTACAAAAGTTTTGTTTTTGGCGTTTTCGCATTTCCTAGGTATTTAAGATTTGTTTTTTTTTTCTAAACTATACACTTTACTTTTGGTGAAGTTATTTTTTCTATTAATCAGGCACTTTTTATGTCTACTTAAAACAATAAATTATGAACAATGTTCATATTGTGCCTATCGCTCTTAAAATAGTTCGACTTAGTTTCAAGGATATATCAATACGTTGCCAGTAAGTCACGACGCCATTGTTATTTGATATTTTTAAAACATAAATTGTAAATATTAATTAATAGGTAATTATTCTAACTATAATTAATACTAAATAATTCTGAACGTCAAGTAACATCAAGATTTGCTGGTTGGTATTTATTTTTTATTCTCTGTACTTGTACGTCCTATGTCCTTCTGCCTTCTCTTTTATCCAAGAAATTATTGATAATGATATATTTAGTTAAAAAAACTATCTAGAAATGTAGAGGTGGTTATTACTTAGGTACACGCTTCAGCATGATATTATGGCTGGACTTTCAATTTTATTAAATTTTTTATATTTGTTTAGCAATCAAATTCTCTGATGTAGGTTGTCTTATTTTAAACAGCACTGATTGGGTTTTAAATAGTTTTACTGTAGTACTTAATCTACATATTTATGGTTTTGATTTTCCATGTATTAATCATCTATATAATATTTGTTTATTAATTTTGGTCATAAATCACAATCATCTACCATCCCCATTTTTTAATAATCATACCTTTTGTAGGTACTTGTCATGATACCTTTTTTAGTATGTAAGTTCTCATATCTCCTTTAGTATTTCCTTTCCTTTAAGACAAATGAAAATTTAACTCAGGGGTTTAATTGCCTCATAATATTAGTATCCTTGTGTCATTTTCTTTTATTTGTCAATCTTCCAAAGTTATTCTCATAAAATCTATGATGTATTTCTTACTCTTCTTCTTCTTCTTCTCAGCTTACCGGTCCATTAAGAACCATTGCTGCCCTCAACAGGTGTCCCCCATATCTCTCGATTGTAAGTCAACTCATATGTTACATTCTAGTCTATGGCTTTCAAATCCTTAGCAACTATCAATCCAGTGATACCTGGATCTTCCTAGAGGTCTTTTTTTGTTTATTTTTTCCACGTGTACTCTTTTATTAGTTGACCATCTTCTCTCCGATTGTGTACAAACCACTCTAGTCTTTTATTCCTGACAAAGCCTAGAATGATGGGTCTTTGTATAATTTTTGTAGCTCTTCATGTTTTCTTCTGTCAAACAGAAATTTGTTTCTCGGTTAAAGCTTGGTCCAAATATATTCCGGAGTATTTTTCTTTCAAATATTATTAACTCTCTCTCATCCTCTTTTGTTAATGACTATGTCTCACTGCCCTATGTCACTATTGGTCTCAAATAGCTATGGTATGAACGTATCTCCGATGTGTCCATGATAGTAATTTTGATTTTAGGAGCTTAATTTTATTATACTATAGTAACACCTGTTCTCATTCGTGGTTCTTTCATTTATCTCTTGGTGCATATTATTCTTGTCATTGACGTTTGATCCCAAGTACTTGAAGTTGTTCACTGCTTTGAATTTCCAATTGTTTACCAATAGGTCGTTTATGTTTAGGTTGGTCCTTGACATCACCATGTACTTAGTTTTATTTTCATTTACATATAAGCCCATGGACATGCTTGCCTTAAGTAGTCTTTCGGTTATCTGGGCAACTTCCTCCCTAGTCACCCCCATCACTACAATTTCTTACTCTCTAAAAGTATTTTTTATAAGTTGTGTTTTGTCCTAATTAAATAGTAATATAAATAATGTCTAAAATTCTCTATAAAATACACTTATGTCTAATACATATTGTAAAAACTAGTTTTATATTTTTTAAATATTGAAATATATTTTTATCATCTATTAGATCATCAAAACAAAATTTATCTTCGTACTATGACACATTAAACTTGAAACCAGGATGTTCCAAAAAAGAAATACGTAACTCATTTATTAAGCTATCTAAATTGGTAAGTATTTACTGGTCTTTGTTTTGAAATGATAACACAAGTTACATTTGATACAAATACAGTTTGTACATATATGTTCTAGAACCATCCAGATGTCTGTGGTCCTTCTTCTAATGATAGATTTGTACGTATCAATGAAGCATATAATGTACTAATAGATGAAAACAAGAAAAAGTTATATGATGAAACATTGGTATACACTAATAATAGTAATCCAATTTATTATCATTACCGCGAACGTCAAAATAGGTAAGAAAAAGAGGAAAGCATAACTATTCTGATGAAATGCTAAATTAATGATACCTACTTGATAGATCATAGCCGTTGTAGGTATCCCATCAAAATCTACAAAATCAATACAGAATATTCTGCATAACTAATAACAATTATAAATTTATAAAATTTATTTTGATTTTTAATATAAGTTGATGTTTTCCAATTGTAATTAGTGGAAATTGGAAAGATGTGTACAATAATCCAAAAAACCATTGGCTAGCTTCAAATGTTGCTATTGCAGGTGTCTGTCTTTCAATACTAGTTGTTGGATCCATAATACGATATAAGGTTGTAAAGTAAGTACATACAATTTTTATATTTTAATAATTAATAATCAAATTTATATTTTATCATATAATTCATAACCATACAGGCAGGGATCTAGAGCAAAGGTGGGGGAGGGGGCACAATTTTTTGTTAATGTAAGATTGCAATATTGGAATCACTATTCACCATGAACTATGATAGTACTATCTAAGTTTGAGCACCACAGAATGATACGTATAATAATACATTATATTATCAGACATACATGTAATTTGAAATATAGTAATACCTATCAGGATCTGTAGGATTATTAAAAACAATTTTGGGAAATAATAAGTCTAAAGGGGGCTGAGCCCCTAGGCCCCCTCCATAGATCCGTCCTTGTAACCATATTATATATTTATATTATGCATTCAAGGATATTTGATAACTGATGTAATGTAATGTTAATCATATTAGTCTCTAAATCTTAATATAATTGTTTTCTCATTAGTTATTACTTATTATATTATTTATTAGGTATATTAATTCAACTAATACAAATTGCATTTTGACAATATTATTGTATCCTATCAAACCATTTTTTAGTGACTATTGAGTCTTAAAAAATGGTTGAATTAGTGTTATTAATGTCTGTTGTATATTATATTTTTTTTTTCTTAGAAAATCTTCCTCAATGAGAAGTTTATTGATGGATGAATCTGATGAACGTTTGTCCTTTTTAGAAGAACAAAAATTAATGAAAATTGATAAAACTAACGATGAGCTTATAAAACTGTTTGAACAAAATATTGCAAAAGAATACGGTCATATCGTAAAAAAATAATTTGTTGTCACCTTGTATTATTTGTTTATAGATTATTATTGTTAACTCTTATATGTTTGAAATAAATTTGTTTAAAACGTGTGTTTATACTATTTGTTTTTGCGATACTATTAATTTCATAAAAATATTAATTATCACTGACAAATTACACTAATAAAGCTATAACAGAACTATAATTTTAAAGTCTTAACAAAAAAATTTTAAATTAAATATTAAAAATGTATTACACAAAAACCTAAATCAAGCCAGTAGAATATATACATTTTTTTATATAGACATATGTGTATTTTAAATAGGAACATATAAAACATCTTGAATCTAGATTGCCTAAATTTTTAAATCAAGTTCAGACCTACCCGACATAGAAAATATCTAGTAACATCACTATGTCGAAGTCAAACACTATATTCACCATTTCAAAACTACATAAATTACCTTTATAATATAGCAGTTATTACTCAGAGCTGTGAAAAATGGAAACTTTGGTTTTACTGTGGCAGTGTGATACGTGGTGGAGTTGCTCACAAACACAAATGTCATCAAACTTTTATAAATTATTAGAAAAATAATCTAATTTCTTTTAGCAATATTTTTGTTGAGTATGTCTTTTTTAATGGTTAATTGACCACATGATGATAGAAATTACCTGTAGGTGGAAATCTTAAAGTCAGAACCAGACTAAGAAAAGAGTAAAATATGTCACATTCTTATTTCTTAGAATTATTAAAATAATACAATAATATTTGTAGTGTATTTTTAACATTATTTACATTTCATTACCTATCTTTTCACCTCTTGAAGTCAGAACTCCTTTAGGTTATTTAGTATACATTTTCAAAACATTTTAAAAATTCTAACAATCAGACATCTCTCAAAAGAGGCAGCCCTAAGGGTAATAGAACCGTACAAGGTAAATATTTTTGTTCAACATTAATTTTGTAAGAATGATCCCTGATATATTTAAATAAAAACCAATATTTGAGTCCCGAAAACTCAATTATCCAATTACGAAAATTAAAACATATAAGATGGTTTATTCTTATTTATTTGTCATACCTATTATTTAATTTTGAGGGTCAACATATAATCGTTTAAGTTTTTGCACTAATATTTATATCACTAATTAATATGTCATATTATATTACATTAATAGTATTCATTTAAACATTAGTAAACAAACTAGATACATAATTTTAAATTTTAATAAAAATTCAGTATTTGACATTGGTTGACAATTGGCCAAAGCACCTTGAAAACAAAAATTTGTCATAGGGTATAGAGTATAGAGGGAAAAATACCGAATGGTAAATACATATTATCTACTTGTATTACAGGCTACAGTCTTGTAAAGAATACTTTTATTTTGTATTCAGAATACATATTCAAATAAATGAGAATTAATATATTCAGAATATGTATTTGAATACTTCTTACAAAATATATTCAGAATACATATTCTAATACCTTTAAAAGTATTCAAATATTATTAGAATATTTTTTTTTTCATTACTAGTTTTTGTTGGTTTTGGAATGGTTGGAAATTAACATTTATTAGGTAGTTAATAATTTAAAATACATCAATATAATATAATTGCAAATAGTTGTTATATTTATAGTAAGTATTTACAATTCAATCAAATACATTCTTATTACATTTAAATAACATAACTTTTTCTAAGTTGTCGTCACTCATACGACCACGTTTTTTTGTGAACACTGCGCTTCCGACACTAAAAACTCTTTCAACAGATGCATTACTTGGAAGGGGAGGTTATATTTTATGAATACATTTTTTATTGTAGGTGTTTCATTTAATGATAAAAGTAATTTATTATTACTTTTTGATAAGTATGTGGATAAACATATCCGATAGTATGTGGACGAAAACTATAATGTTCATGATTTAAATTAATGACTTGTCACGACTTTAAAACTATTTTTCTGGATGGGAAAAAAAGTATTTAAAATAGTATTCGAATACTTTTTAAGACTGCTTGTACATAACACAAGATGAAAACATAAATTTATTATTTTATTCTAATAGCAGTAATAGCTGATATCATTTGTGATATTTTAACTATAATTTATACTACACACAAGTTACAATAAGGTATCTATACCTACATAATTATACATGTATACTAATTTAGTAAATACCTAGGTAGGTACCTTGATTTTGATAATAACTTATAACAACATAAATTTGTCAATAAAAATATGAATATGGTAAAATTATTATATTTTAATTGCTTATGTTTTTAAAATATTTCTTTTTAGGTTCAGGGTTATCCGAAATAACTTTACAGGTAGCAATACATGTGTAGGTATTCAACACATATATCAGGTTTCAGATTCAGATTATTTTGTGAACATAAATAATGGTATAATATATTAGACGGATGTATTACTCGTATTAATACTTATCTGGCTATCTAGATATATAAGTATAAATATATAATATAATATACATGTTTGATGTTAAGTATGTTGGGTACGTCTTATACTATGTAGGTATTATAGGTTAATGCACTATAATCATTAATCACAAATACAATGCCATGCTCGGGAATTTATAATGGTGGGAGAGATACATTAAGCCAAAGATCGGAGATTTTACCATTTTTTTAAAAATAATTTAATTAAGGTTATCCTAAAAAAAAATTAAACTAATTTAAGTTGCTTTTTTTAATTAAGACGAGTTAGACATTTTTAAGGAAATATTAACTAAGGTTAGTTAAAAGTTGAAAGTTATTATTTTTAATTATTCACCTTCATATTCTATTACGATCAGACTTGGTTAACTCGAAGTTGAAGGGACCAGCCAAAAAGTTAGAGTTATCCAAGGAAAATACAATAATAGCCCATTTTAGGGACCGAGGAAAAGTTCGATTTACCTATCGACAATTTCGAGTTAACCAAGCTCGACTGTACTGGAAAAACCGTAATAAACCAACTATAATTTATTCTATAGTAGACTATTCGAGAAATTTAAATTAATTAGTTAGGTACACGGAATTGATAAATTACAAGAACATTTTATTTATTTAAGTTTATTGGAAAGTTACGGTCTGCTTTGTTCATAGACCTTAACTATACAATAAAACAAACGATGAGTGTAGGAGGTAGGTATGGAGAGCGTAACCACATAGAGGGCGCTTTTTGATTACTCAATTACTCGTACGAACGATTAGGTTAGGTTAGGTAAGATACATAATATAGATTATTGTATTTTTTTCGTAAAGTCTGCATCATTGCGAGATGTTGTTACGCCGCTCGTATTGCTCGTAAAGCTATTATTATACAATATACACAGTTCTTATTTAGCACAGTGGCGGCTCGTGGGTTTTTAATGAAGTAGTGCACATCCAAAAATATGTGACCAATATTTTACATATCATATAATAGATTGTATTAAACGATTAAATATCAGCTGATAATCGGATAATTATAAACGAGTGAGAGTAAAAATAAATTATAATGCCGACGCGCGACGGCAACGTCGAAAATAATTCGCTGAAAACAATAAATGTAAACACTTCAAGTACGTATAGTTCGTAGTTAGTTGTATTATTATGGTTTATATTTTCACATTTCAATTTTTATTGAATTTGTGCATTTGTGCACACTGCACATATAGGTACACGAGCGACGAGTCGCCACTGATCTAGTAGTAAAAGTTCTATGGCTTAATTATATTATCTTATAAGCCGGATTTACAACTTCTCTCGATATATTTGCAGTTGACCACCTAATTAAACAATCGCTTTATACGTAGGTGCATACTTGAGCACTTGGGGGAAGTTTTGGCGGCATTTCAGTTTTGAATTGGGGTGCCCAACATAAATTTTTAGCGGGTCATTTTTTTTTTTCGTCGTCAGAATAAACTTTTACTTCAAAATAATTAATAGTAAATTCCTACCTACATAATATATTTTTTGTGTGTAAGACTCGTGTATATGTAACGATGTATATGGGGTTCAACTGTTGAATGATTTTTAATATACAATATTTTAATGAATTAAAATTATTAATTAACAGTTGTTTGCCTTTTGTTATAATTTTATAAAAATATTTATTAAGTTAGGCATTTTAAGTCTGTCCACAGAAAGAAATAGGAATGCCGTGGTATACAATGCATCCTGCAGATAGCAACCCTGCTTGTTAATGGATTCGGTTTGTTCATCTTCAAATCCACAGTAGGTACCTTCCATAAGTCATCATTCATTAACCACATTTGATCTTGGTCCAAATCTCAACTCTGCACAAAGTAATGATAGATAATGGTATTTTCTACAGTACAAGTTGTTGGTGGCAAATGACAATATACATAATGGTCCTAATTTATAATACTATATTAGTATACCTAGTACCTACCTGCCATACAATAACTGCACCCAGTAGTCCCTCACAGTCTCACCACGATAGTTAAGATTGTTCTGGGTCGTGTGATGATCAGAAGTCAGGACTTGCGTAAGGAGAAGTTGACGTACAACCAACGAAGACTCAAGTAGAATTGATTAGAAATCGAGAGAAATCAATTAAGTTATTGGGCATCCGGACTTAATTTAGGGTGTCAACGACCAAACTAAGTTCTACAGTGTGGGGTGGTAGACTAATTATTGTAGATGCTACATAATGAGACTCGTATTTATACAGTCTCCCCTAGATTATAGCTATACGGTGGAGACTATAAGAGTCAGGAGGAGAATCAAAAGTGCCGACCCGGAATTATCGTTGCGTGTAATGTCCTTAAGTTCTCTTGTGGTTTTAAGTGCTTTTCATATTATTGGTAGTCGTAGGAACTGGGATAATTCTACGAATCAATGGGAGAGAGGTTGATTCCCGAATTAGTTATTTCTCGTGGAATCGATGGACAAGTAGTTGACCTTCGAGATCGTGAATTTATTCGGATCTTAATAATGTATAGCTAATAAAATAATATCCATTAAAATAAAATAGTAATAGAAAGAAAGCTATTCTGTTAGTTTACTATACACAATATTTGAATTTATTGCCAGTAGTCAAAAAAAAATTACACCATTAATTTTTTAAAATCTGTATTTTAAAATTATTTTC